CAGTACATAAATATATTTATTTAGTATATTTATTGCTAGTTTTTCATGATCGTGCTGCCATCTATATTTAGCAAAAGTCGATTTTTCTCTCCAATGATTTATGGAGTTCCTTTGTGTAGCTTTATAAGAAATTAACACTAAATTACTGCTAATATGATTATTTCTCATTACTTGGTTGGTTGTTTAGAGAATTTTTTGCTCTAAACTAGAGTTGTAACCTTAGTGTTAGTTTCTCGTACTAAAACTAAATTAAAGGACGCACTTAGTGACCGATTAACTCTGAGTTTGGCGAAACAAATTTACTTTAAGTACTCATTTATAATTTGTACACTTGGATATTTAAGTACAATATGGTAAGAATACCATTTAGCCATAAATTTACTTTCATAGGTTTTTTTTTCATTTTATTTAGTTGTTATTTAAAAAAAAATTGTTTAAAAAGTTTAAAAATTCAATCTAATTGTGTTATATTGGTGAAGAAAATTGTGTTGGCTTGGGAAATAATTCGGGATTTAATTATGGCCTAAGGAAATTTGTGTTTTTTTAAAGATTTTTACTGACTTATAATCAAAAAAAAATGTTTCAAATAAGTCATTAGAAATAACCCCACCGGTACAAATAAAAACTTCCATACAAGGAAATGTACCTAACAATGTATATCAGCACTTTCTATATAATCCGTTGTAATAAGGTGAAGGGCGCAGTGTAAACAGAACATATAATCGATTTATCGGTAAAATCGACGGTTTTAATATCGAATTTTTTATACCTTTGATATTATCGATATATCGATGAATATCGATATTGTAAATTATCTTCTCACTTTTGTATAAGTATTGCACATTATGAATTTGCTTTCTTTCGGCAATGCCTTAAAATTTCTCGTTCTTCGCTTTACTTTGAATATTCCGAGCATAGAGATTCAAATATAGAGCGGACATTACGAACACTTTCTTTTAAATATTTGTACCAATGGTACGATTTTTATATATTTTGATTCCTAATGTCCTGTCTATTAAATATAAGATTAGTGTCCATATAAAAATGTTAGAAATTTTCTTCGAACAGTGGAATTTATGTTTTAGTTAAGTCCTGTTTACACTGGTGTCCGGTGATGGATTTTGTATTGTGATCGTCCCAACTGTTTGTGGTAATGGCGGTTAAGATTTGTAATATGTCGTAATTTGTATACATATTAACTTATACGGGACTCACCATGGGTTTCTGAAACCAAAAAAAAAAATTGTATAAAACATATATGCCTCCTTGTCATTATCTTTGATATAACAGAGATAACAATATGTTTTAAAGGGAGATTTTGGTCTCAGGAACCCACGGTAAGATAGCTTAGGTCCTAATCGAAGTTAACGCATTTAGTACTTATCGACATTTTAGTATTAAAAAAAATCATGTCAATGAATTTTATACATTTTTTACACCATTTGCGATATTATTTAAGACTTTTAGAACTAAAAAATCTAGATTTTTTATGTAATCAATGCTTCAAAAGACATTTTTTAACTTAGTTTCATAGTTATTTGCCTTCCAATTACATTCATATATTAAACGATTTTATACAATTTTCTTTGGGAGATGTATTAAAAATATTTAGTGAATTATACAGTCGGCGTTGGTTTTGACATTTTAAAGTACATTTATAAATTATAATACAAATATTAATTAAAATAAAATTAAAAAACAACACCCTCTATATATGAAGAAAGTACAATAAATAATGCATATTCAAAAAGCTTTTAAACCTTTTTAGATATTTTTTGGTCTTAAAAGTAAAAAAAAAACTATATTATTTATTAAAAGTTCCGTTATTTTAAAAGAACTGGCTTTGAAAATATACCATAAACAATCTGGTTATGTGATTTTTTCAAAAATACTGAATCTATGGTCAATATTTGATAAATCATAGACTAACGCTGACTGTATATGTATTTAAAAAAAATAATATCAAATCAGTTTTAAACATTCCTCTCAGAGTCCAGCATTCCCTAATCGGCATTTTAATACTTATGTTAAGTTTAAACATCTAACATACAAATGTATATTCCTTATGTCTAATTTTATGTGAAATATATTTTTTAGAACTTTTTTTTACAATTTGTGACATTCCTGTGGGAAACAACGATTTTTACATCATATTATTTTAATTGTAAATTTTTATTTTTTTTTAGACATTTTAAGGTTTTTTTATAGAATTTTCTTTAAGTTTTAATTTGATTTAATGAAGGAATCGTTTTATCGCTAAATATTAACATAGTGTGACGTAAAAGAACAATTATAGGTTAAGAGCTATATAAAAAATAATATACGCTGTCATTTATAATTAAAAAAAATTGTAAGCCTAAATAAATCGGAATTGAAAATTATATTGAATTTATTTAAATAACCTTATTTGTTTTGATATTGTAACTAACTTGAACCTGGTTTTGTTTTTATTAACAGCACAGCTGATCTAAAATATATTGCCGTCTCCATTTTTCCTAAAGGAGTAAGAGGGATGTTTGTGTGCAGTTTCGCAGTGGAATAATATCTTAATACCTTTTGAACTTGTGATTTTTATGTAAATATTTTTCTTTTCAAAGTTCTGGGTGTTTCTTTTGTTTTGTGAAATGTTTGTGTTTTACATATTTATAGCGTTTGGGACCTTTGGGACTTTCATATTGGGAACAACAGGTACTTTTGGTATTTTAATATTTGCATTTTTGTAATAAACTTTGTTTCTTTGGTGACGGAGTGTGTGTTGTGACTTCCTTGGTGTTTTTGTGTGTTACTTTTTAATCTTTGAACTTATTATAGTATCCCTGACTTATTTTAACCTTAGTTACTACATTTTTGACTTTAATTTATTTTTCGCGAAATATTATGTCTGGTAAGTGAAGTATATGTAACCATATCTTGGTTTTTAATCATTTTTGTATAGCTAATGTGAGATTATTCGTTCGTTTTGTAAAGGATGGCCTGTCACAATTTTTTGTTTTTAAAATATTTGTTTTTTTTTTATTAGTTGCATGTTACTGTACATATGTAAAAAATTATAGCTTACTTAAATGAATTTTCTATACTTATGATACGCTAATTTGTAGTGCATATTTATAGGGTTGAGAACTCTGAAGTAACGGTTTATTTGGATGTTACGGAAGTTGAGAATGACGTCACTGAGTCGTTGACTCCTGAAGAAAGCACAGAGGTAACGCCAGTGTTAGAGAAGCCAGCTCTACCACCGAAACCGGACAACTTGTCTCCATTGCCGAGAACACAATCGGTTTCCACGGACGAAACGAAAGAAGAGTAATGATAAAATAATTATTTTTAACTTTTGTATATAGATTTCATTTTGTTAACGGAGTTTTTGTTCTTCGAAAAACAACGATATTTACACTAGAGGAAAAAAAAACAGTCATTCTGAAATCAGATTTATTTTTATAAGAAAAAAATGTTTTATGCAAAGATTTTATAGAATTTTTATTTTTATATAATTTTTGTAATAATTTATTGTATTTTATTATTTATAAATTGGAATTTTACGTACAAATGAAATTGAAATGCAATTTGTTTATTTTTTTTATAAATTGATTTGATAACGAAATGTAATTTAAGCATTATATACTTATTTTTAAGTACATTTATTTTAACAATTTTATGCTTTATTAAAAGAAATTTCTTATTTTTATAAAAATTTGGTTTAAAATAAAGAGTTATACGTATAATTTTATTTACCCCTTTATTTAACCTAAAAAATTGCACCTCGAAGAGAAGTTTAAACAAAAAAAAAGTTCAGGGAAAAATAAAACAAAAATATAATAAAATTGTGATGATTTATTTCAATCCACAGCCGGCAATAAAATAAAAACTTATAAAGTTGCATTTACATTGTAATAATACGAAATCGATGGGACATATTTTGCATTAAAATAAATTACATTTTCATATAATTGCATATAATCAAAGAATTCATTCCAAATAATAATCTGTAGACATAAGACTGACATGTTTATCAATAAAATATTTTAAGTTTTAAATTTAAAAATTAAAAAAAAGAACTAAGTGCATCAGTCTAATGTACACAGAATATAAACTTTCACACATGAGTAAAAAAAATAGGATGAAAAAATTAAAGCGTAAGATAATTGACAGACTATAGGAACAGAATTTCTAAAACGTATATTTATGTTAGTTTCCACAAGATTTTTCGCAGTGGAAACCTACGGCTTAATTAAAACAAGCTTTCAAGAATTCGGTTTAAAGTACTGATGCGTCGAAAGAAAAATAATTTATTGTTACAAATGACAAAATGTCAATATTCCAAAAATATTTCTTCATTATTGAAATAAAAAAGAAAGACTGTTTTTTTTTTTAATAAAAAGGAGAATTATTTTTATGAATAACAGGAAAGGTTAATTTATATAGGAAATAAGCGTTAAAAACTAGATTATTTTACGTTACTGTTGTGTAATAAAGTAATCGTTTTTTCTATTTTTAATGAAAAAATATTCACTTTTAAATTCACTTGTCCTAAATCTATGGTCATCTAAAAATAAATCTTGATAAATATTCTTGAATAATGCAGAAATATTTTCGTTGTAAAATAAAAAGTAAGAAAATTTTGGAATGTTTTTTACTTTACAAATATATTATAGAAAAAAAAATTAAAACCAAATTTGAAAACGGCTTCTTTGTAACAAATGTGTAACAAATTATCTAAAATTTTATATAAATATTTGAATTTCAATTCAATTACATTAAAAAAATAAAAGTGATTCATTCAACCTCCGTCAAATTGTGACTAACTTAAAAGTGTTCTATTTTTTAAATTATCTTTTGTCCCAAAATGGCCGATCCATCAATGATGTAACACTAAAGCATTATAATACAAAAAAATTATACAATATATGCTTGTTCAAAAATACTGTGAGTTTCCACACGTATAAAAATATCTTCATCTCATTATTTTAAAAGAGAACGTAAAGGAAGGCAATATACATTTACGAATTATTCCGCAGTGGAAACCCACAGTAATATGCAAACACTCTCATTTTCTACAACAATTATATACACAACTTCATATATATATAACATTCCTATAAACCTTCACCCGCCAACAATTACGACGCTAAAGCAATTCGAGATGCAAATTCAAATTGAAACTTCTAAAATAATGAAAAAAAAATCTTTAAAATTACGAGAACATTATTACCGTACAATTCCACCGAAACATTTGCGTAATATTGCTATCTCTTTCATTCTCTTTGGATAGAGACGACAATCTATTTAACAAGAGTGCAGTGAAATTCTACGTTAAATATTATTAAAAACAAATGGACCCACTCACATATCAATATTTACAACTGTCCAAACTTAATAATATTATTGCTATAGTTATACACAGTTTTAAGGCTATTTCGCCGATAAATTGATAAATTAATTTACTTTACTTAAAAAATTAGTTCAAATTTAATTTTAATAACAAATAAATCCCAAATAATATTGTACTTTTACAATTTCAAACTCTTCGGATAATATCATTAATTAGAAATTGAAAATATTAGAATTGGTAATACAGTAGAACCTGAGTAAGCGAGAGAGATTGTTTGGTGGCAACGCCGACTTCAATAGCTTAAAAACTATTCGCGAGAAAATATCGCGATCACTCGGACTCTCGGATTATCCAGGTTTCACTATAATTCACATCTTGGTGCCATGAAATTCCATTTATTTCCTTTGCTTTCTCAAAGAGAAATAAACCGCCTTCCTAAACTTTAACAATGGGTCTTACGCGTGTACAAACATTAAAGGTTTTTTTACAATTATTTCAATAGTGGAAATACAAGGTGTTAATTCAATATTGAAGTAGGATTTTGATTCGTCTCATCAATTAAAAAATGACTAATTTCGATTTTTTTTCGGATAAGATATAATTATCTTGTAACAAAAAATTTCAAGCTTCACCAAAGTTTGATTAATATAATAAAGGCAAGATTCAAACATAACTCGGCACAGCCTTTTTTAAAATGAAAATTATAGAATCATAATTTTGACTACATATTTTGAATGTCATAACTAGAACAGAAAAATGTTTCCTATTAAATATAAACTAATCTTCGCCCTCTTTACTAAAACTATCAACGCCTAACTGAAGGTTACTTCCTTGAGATCAAAATGTATTTTTTTTAATATAGCCCCTTTTTAGCAAGTAATTGACCTGCCAACATGATAAGTATCACGTGACATCTTTTTTATTAAAATTAAATTCAAATATAAAGATAATATTATTATCGCCTCATATTAAAAACATTGGATTATTTCGTATTCGAAATGGAATATTTTCCATTAAAAAAAACTGCAGCCGAGTTAAGTTCACTCTCACCCGAACCGATCCAGTCTTTCACTGATCAATTGCCAATCATATTTTATTTATTTTAAATTTCATCAAAATATAATGATAAAATTTCGATATATCACGAACATTTTCACAGCAAAACTTTGTATAGTTTCAACCACACAACGATTTGCATTCATACCTGAAGTGGAAAATAAAAATAAACATAAATTAAAAAAAAAGTAAACAATTTGAAAACAAAAAAAAAGGTCACAATTCTCTATAAAACATAAAACTGTATCTTAGCACGAAAAAACTTTAAAATAGTTAGCTATTTATAGTTACCAGATAAACGTAACTGTGTTTGTTTTGGCTCAAATTTTGACTTAAATATTTATTAAAAAAAAGGTACAATAATTCACATAAAAAGCGGACAATACAAAATTGTGAAAGACAAGATTTTGTAGTACTAAAGTTAGTTCATGATATGAAAGCGTGAAAATATTAAATAATTTTATTAGTTTCAAATAAAATGACCAAATTCTTTCTAATTGATATTAAAGGCATCATAAAAATCTATATGTTACAAAAAACTTTACAAAATCTAAGAAGTATCAAAAAGTTCAAACAGAGCTAAAGAAACGTCTCAATTTTAAAACCTTATTGTATTTTTAATTTAAAATATCGATACCTTTTAATATCTTTATAGAACTGTTTGAGATGTTCACTAAATTAGTAATTTCACTAAAATAAATCATTCACTAATTTAGACATACTGGCATTTTAGTAATATTCCTAATTAGAGAGAATTAATAATAAAAATTAATTTTTACAACTGTGATTTGTGTAAAAATAAAATTGTACACGACTCATAATTATTGGTTAAATATTTTCGTTGATAAAAAACGTTAAGTAAAAAAGAATAATAAAATATTGTAATAAAATTTACAGAGTTTTTAATAGATTAAAAACACTTCAAACATTTAGAGATATACAAACAATTCTATATCCTACAGTAACTAAAAACGTGTTTATTAAATATTTGCCAACGTGAATGATAAAAGCATTAAATAAAATATCAAAATTGTTATTATCCAAAAGGCATTTGTGTTAGAAAATATAATATTATATTAATCGGCGTTATTACATTTCACAATTAAATGCATTAAACAAACATGTGATATAATTTTTATTATACATATATTTTTAGTAACATTTGTTAGATATTTATACAAAAGCATGTTAGTGGAATAAAGCAAACATATAAAACTCGCAATATTACTTGATTAGAGATGAAATTTAAAAGAAACTATAAGGAATCCTTTTAGAGTAAAACTTCTATTTGGTAGAGTCAAAGTACACAAACTACTACAGTTTGGAGTCGAAACATCACTGGTGGAATTAAACTGCAAGAAGTATTATAGTTTCTAGTAAAGTTCAGACTGGTAATGTAAGTTCGTAAACCTCTCTCCGGTGGAGTAATATTGCAAAAAGTTGAGTAAACTTCAATATGTTGGAGTAAGATTGCGAGTGGTATACGCGGACGTGGACTATCACCCCTCCACAAGTACAGCGGGTGAGGGGAGATGTGGGGCATTACCTGTCGTGGTGCTTATCCAGCAGGTACTCCTTGAGCCGCGCCACCAGGTGGTCCGACAGCTGGGTCACTTCGGGCCACTGCTTTAATACCATTACACCAACCATTAACGCTACACTTGTTGTTAGAACTCGCACCCTGAAATGTACAGAGAACATTGTTGATATAAAAATAGTTTTTTGAAATCTAATAACCGTAAAGATAATTTTTAGCAGTGTTTGAAATCTTGGCTGTGTTGAAATCAATAAACAAATATATACGATATTTACATAATTACAAAGTGTTTGTGTAAGCTACATACGCTCACCCTTCTCAGTACATATATGCGCACGCACGCACTAAGGGAACTGTTACACTAACATCGACTCGACTCTCTCTAGTCGAATATGTTGGAAGAGTGGGAGGTGAGGAAGTGTATTAGTCTTTTAAAATCTTATCGGCCCAAGGTCATGTGCGCGCTGCGTAGTACCCTCAACACACCTAACATTGTGTTCTGCGCAGTGATATATGAAAACATTAATACCTGGTCCTGAGGAAGGGCATGGTGACTCCGGCGACGGTGGCGACGAGCAGCAGGACTAACTGCAATAACGTGAGCGCCACGTTGAGCAGCTTGACAAGCAGCAGGCGCGGGGGGAGCGCCGCCGCACCGCCTGCGTCCCCCGCGCCGCCGCCACCGCCTGCTCCACCCCCACCACCCGCTGCCCACTGCTCCAACTTGCCGATCTGATCAATATTTATTTATTTTAGAAAACACAATAGACAAAATAGCTTAACATTGTTAGGAAGAAAAACCGACACGTGCCGGTGTATCGGTTATGTCCTCTCACTAATCGATCTGACACTTGACTTAGTAACAAAAGCGCGTCATTCGCTTCAAATGATTGTAACTATAATAAAATTGACTAAAAATATTTCGAAAATTACTCGCCTTAAACAGTGAGTTTAGCAAACGACACATAATTTTATTCTATGACATTAATACAGTTATGGCTGAGACAATAAACGTTAGCATTATGCGGTTTTTAGCGCAGAGACGATTTTTCAAAGATAAAATAAGTGGCTCACTTTTGTCTGGCAGAGGTCGAGGGCCTCGTGTATATCGCGTATGCGCTCCTCGCTCTGGTACTGCACCTTTTCCTCCACGTCCGTCAGCGCCTGCTTCAGGTTCTCCACCTGGGAAAATACCATAAAGAATTTTCAAATTTCAAGATTTTTTTGAACATGGAACTGGTTGGAGTATGTTAAAAATATTTCTCTCCAAAATTTTGACCTATATGAAGACTATTTATGCATAAATCTATAACCTACTTAGTTAATTAATAAAATTCAACTTAACAAGCAAAGCGCTATTTGCATTAAAAAAATAGTGAAGATTTAAAATGAAAACTTAAGTAACTATGCGGGAGGAGTATTGCGCAGTTTCACACGACCTTTAGCGGCTTTACCTCATTCTGATGCAGTTCAGTGAGATCATTGATTTGTTCTTCAAGTCGTTCCGTCTTGAACCGCTCCTCCTGCAGCGCCGCCGACAGGAATGATACCTCTTGCGATAGATTCTATAAATAAAAAAAAAAACAAACTACTTCAAAATTTAATACGAAAATGTCTTACAACACTATATATTAATAAGATTCTTTCATCGAGACCATAGATTTCAATTTCTATCATAAAAAGTTTTCATCCAAAATTTAAAATATAAACACTAGAGTTCAAATACGAAGCATTCCATTTAGAAATAAAACAAAAACCAGATAACCTATAGACTGATTTGATAAAAAACCAGTATAAATTGAACTCTATGTAAGTGTGTTATGTATTAAGAGTAAGGGTCACCTTAAGCGCTTCCATCTTCTCCGCCAGCCGCTCGTAGTCCTCTCTGCGCTCGCGCAGCTCGTTCAGTATCGGCTTGATAGAGAATGTAGCTTCTGACATGTTGTTTGTACCCGGTTGCGTTTGATAACTGGAATTTTTTACACAACATGTTAACAACAACAACGATGGTTAAAAGTGAAAAATCATTTTAAACGTGAGACAGTCTCATTCTTTATTTACATTTCATTGCTTTGCTATTTTGTTCTTTTAAATTAACTATTCATTATAGAGTTGGTAAAACAGGAAAATTTATAAAACTAAAATACATATTGATTTCGTTACAAAGAAAAATTGAAGAAAGAAAATTGCTTTCTAACTTATACAGAATAAGAAAAACAAATTATTTTATCTTACTAATATTATAAATGCGAATGTTTGGTTGGACGGGTGGATGTTTGTAGGTATCTCCAGAACGACTAAACAAAACTCGCTAAAATTTGACATAGACGTAGAACATAATCTGAAAGAGCACATAGAGTACTAATTAAGTTTTTTTTTTATAATTCCGCGCGGACAGAGTCGCAAGCAATACCAAGTTATCCATAGACATACAGATTATAATATAACTTACGGCGCGCCTTCACTGGTGACAGAGGAGCTGGGCGAGGCGTCAGGCGAGAACTTGGGCGCGGGCGATGTGGCGGCGCGGGGCAGCGTGGAGCCGCGCGGCGCCGCCTCGCCCGCCTCCGACGCACGCGAACCTTCCGACGACGCGTTCGCTGCCATGTTGTAGCAATACTCAATACACACAAAATATACGAAGCTAGTATTAAATAGCAGCTATTAAGCTAAATTAAGCTATTAAGACATTGTTTTGGTTATACAGTTAGAGTTCATAATAAATTATATTTGTTATAGCACTGGCACTAGGATAGTAAAAATAAAGCTTAATAGCCGTCACACTGAGTAGATAAGTGTAGATTTATCCAACTAAATCTACACTAAACCTTTCTCTTATTGACTGCTTTAGTGAAGATTAAGTGAGAGAAATCCATACCGAATGCCTATTTTTTTTTTTAAATTCGATAATAAATTATTTAGTTTAATGGTTGATATGTGCCTTATTAACATAATTTTTTTACTTATATTTGTATGAAAATAAATAGCGTTTAGTAATCATTACCGAACGTGAGACCATAATGATATAATTTCAAATAATTTTACAATTTTATTAATTAACCTAGATCGGGGATAACGAACCAATGGCACGCGACAGAATATTTTGCACATCACTAAATTTATATGCACAACAGAAAAAAATATGAAGAGCAAACACATATGGTATGAAATAAAAAATAGCATTGATAGATAAAGGTTGACCACCCCTGACTTAAATCATCGTAAAGTGATGTAATACGTAAGTAAAGCCGTCTTATTCATTGTTAGCGCGTTATCTTCCACATACATAGTATAACTAAATTATCTTGAAATATTCATCATTATTATTTATATCACGAAGTATTTTTTTCTAAACTACCTTTCTTTTATAATCACATTGATCAAAATTAGAGATGGAAAGTGTTTTTATTTGCGTATGTATTGTTGATAGCAATAAAAAATTGCTTCTTCTTCTTCTTCTTGAGGTGCCTCTCCGACTAGCGAAGGTTGGCGATCAGTTCTCCATATTTGCCATAAAAAAATACAATAAAAAATTTCTAAAATGTTAAATTATATCAGAATACTGTTTAAAACGACACTAAACCCGTTAAATACTAATTCAATAGCGACAAATTGTTATGACAGCGAGAGGGGTCGGATTAATTTGACTTTGAGAGTGAATCACTGATTGCTATATACTCGTAGTAACTTCGGCCTTCACGTAGAATACAGTGCATGCGTTAATTTAACAACACATATGAAACTAAAAAAGGCAAAAAATAAATAAACAAGCGACATTGGATAAGATATAAGAATTTACTACTAAGAGTTTTTTTTTACAAAGATAAATAATTAAAAAAAAAAATAAGAACAAATGCATATTTAAAAATCTATCCTAGCCTACTAGGGTATATTTACACTAAATAAAGCTTTTGAATAAATTTCTATTTGAATATCACCGAAAAATAAAAACACATTTTGGCAAAAATATAATAGATTTTCTTTAACACTTTAAATGCGATTAAACTTTTTACGTACTATTTAGTAGCAATCAAAGTGTTAACAATGACTAATACATCAAATTTCAAGGTCACTGTATACATCGTGAACAAGTTAAATGCAACATTAACACGTGATAATTAGCATATATTTACCTCTCAGTTCCGCATGTTGTGGGGCTAGCGTGCAAGAATGAGACAACATGATAAGCAATAATTACACTGGTGTTTACATTAAAACAAGCAATATTTAATATTATTAAATAGAAATAAGAGTTTTAGAAAGAGATAAAAGTGCAACACTGAATAAAGTGTGGAGAACTAAGTCTTATTTTCATATAACTAAACTATGTTTAAAACATTACTATATGATGCTAGTAATTTCTGATAAAATAGAATAAAATATTATGCGAATGTTTAGATGGATGTTTGAAACTATCTCCAGAACGGCTGAACGGATCTGGATGAAATTTGGCATACACATAGAATATAATCTGGAAGAACGCATAGGCAACTAATTATGTTTTTTTTTAATTCCACGCGGATGGAGTCGCGGGCAACAGCTAGTAAAATCATAAAAGGGAAAAGATATAGAAAATGTTTAATGATTTAAACGTGACAATATTTTCTAAATAAATATCTATTTCAAGAGCATAAAAAGATAAGAAAAACTAGTATTAACTAAATATAGCAAATAAATATCATAAATAAGCGATAATCGAACTAAAAAGGTTAAAATGTACACTTAATTTGTCTTTTTTACTAAATCTGAGTTTATACTAAACCACTTCCTCAACTAACAAAGTATGTTTTTATTAAAAAAAAACTGATTTAAAAAAAAATCTTACAAGAATAAAATAAAAATCTATTTACATTTCTTCCGGCATTTTTTACACTTGCGAAAAAACATATTGTAACAACATTATAAAATCACTATATAAACATGAGTCATGTTTGTACGCGCGCGTGCCCGCGCAGGCAACAACTGATTATCTGCGTATGTTTATCAGATATGTAAATGACGGACAGCTGACGTACTCAGCAGTGTGAAGGTTAACTTGTATTTGAAGTAATATTGTTTGGCTAGACAGTCATAACTTTATACATTCTAACATAACCGTGGAGTTTCATTTAAAAAAAAAATCTTATACATAAAATTCTCGATGTTACCATAATCATCACAAATGTTTTGACCGATTTTTTATAAAATTTTATATGCTTATTTACTAGGTCTGAGAATCGGCTACTATCTATTTTTTTATCCCGTGCGGACGAAATCGCGGGCGACAGCTAGTATTATTTTAAATTTTTTTACATGTTAAAAAATTCTAATATCGATTTTTGTACACTTTAGGTATTGTAAATTCGAATATATTTAATTTTTTAAATCTTTGGAGATAACAACGATTGATATAATCTATTCATCTCACAAAGCTATTGAAACTGTCACACTATGTCGTCATAGATTTAATGTTTTGAATTATAAGATAAGACGGTTATTTTTTTATATTTGTATGTAGTAAAATTAACACGTTAGCTGCCATGTCGGACTATATGTCCGACAAGCTAATGTTTCAATCAGGCTGAGTCGGACTATGTGTCCGACAAGCCATACTTCCATTCAACACCGCGCTGTGACTTATTAATCGAATTGTTGCATACAGCGTGACCCGCAAGGCCACATTGAAATGGGTTTGGACAAAATTAAAAAAAAAATGTTTTCCGTTTTTTTCGAAAAAATCATTCTGGCAGCTAACGTGTTAAATATTTATTTTATTACATTTAGCATAACAATTACGACGATTTGAGTTTGATAAAAAAGGTTATTTTACTTTTTATTAATTTCATATTTCTCTTAGCTACTTGAGTTACGTTACTAGATTTATCGTTAAAACAAACTATTTAGCTTGAACTAATTATTATTAAAAGTGTTATTTACACTACCGTAAGGGTTATGAAGTGATGAAAACGTTTGCAAATTTACTGCCTAATTAAAATAATTAATGATAAGTTAAAAACAAAATTTTAATTCTAAGCTGAAAAAAAATCTATTTTCAATGAAGGATTATTAAAACTAATAAATATTATTAACTAGAGCTATTATTAATAATATTTTAGTACGAAATGGACGTGATAGGTTAATAATGAATGAATTGCTACCACTCTTATACTTACAAGTACCCGTGTTCTCTGCGAGACAAAATATATAAATTTAAATAAACAGCCAATTATTTACTATATAATTATTTATATACTTGAATATCCTAATATATATATTATGTTTGTCTAATATTTGAAGTTATATTCAACTTCTAAGATAATAATATAAAAATCAAGTTCAAATATTTGGCTCTTGTACTATTAAATGATTTCCTTGTATAAGAGTTCTTACATTTATCGATTTACCGTTGGTTTCTGAGACTAAAATCTCTGTATAAAACATATTGTCATCATATAAAAATATGTTTTAAACGAGGATTTTGGTTTCAGAATTTATTTTATAATATTTCAAGTTAGTATGACATCGGTATGCAATGAAGAAAACTTGCCCAATAATATTACGGGAGTATTATGAAATATATTTCATTTCAAATGGAACATATACTATGTAAAATATTGTACATCTTTTAATATTTACATATATGCTGAAAATATACCAAATATTTATTTATATATAATCCACTGTTAGTAGCATAAATTTATTTTTCTATATATTTTCCTGATTTAACATTATGATATCGGAGGATATATTTTAGGTTAGCTGTATAGAAATTACAACATAATTAAATTATTTAGAATATATGTGGTAAAATTGTTGATTGTGACCATGTTGTGTCACTGAACCTTATCTTTTTAAATATCGAGGATGATACCAAAAAAATCAAACGAAAAACATGAATATTTCATAACTGAATTGCATGTTCGAAGCCAGATCGATTAAAGTTAATCGATTTTTTAAACAGCTCACTATGAAGCTAATGTAGGTATAGAACGACAAGGATATCTGTTCCGGTGGGCAAAAGTCAAACTAAATTATGACATCTCACTATGACCCCCTATCAATGTCAAAATATCGTCATAAAATTATTTTCTTACTGTAGCTGTTGTTTTTATGCCATTTTCAATGTACGTTTAACATATTTTCTGACAACAACTACAACTAATTAACAGAAATAGGATGTTTTATCATCTATTTGTTTTTTGTATTTTAATATTGAATTTTATTTAAAAAAAAACCCCGACAACAGCGCTTCTGTCACCGGGTCAGATATGTCCGTTGGTAACAAGTGTACATTGATACAGACCGGCGAGCTGTGCGATGTTGTCCGCTGATCCGAATCTGTTGGAGCGCGAGAAGAGATGTGCGAACTCCCGCGGCGCCGCCATCACACTGCCGCCCAGACCGGTGATGCCGTCCCGTATGTTGCCGCCCACGTTCCTGTTAACAACGAATCTGTATAGTATTCTTCAAATATCTTGACAGCTCAAGTTCATCTGCGCATGCCTCGTCACACCTGCAATTCGTACGAAGTTCTGAGCGGACAAGATATTTGACATCGTCTATACTTGCCTTGATGTTGAGTAATGACAGAGAACTTTAGTGTAGTATTTTTTACGAATCATTAATCTACCTCTAAGAGATTTTTAGTGTATTTAGTATGAGAAATATACACTAAGAGGTAACCTAAGTTACAATTAATTGATTAAGCAGTACTGTAAGTAGACTTACTTCAAGCCTTGTCCCATATCACGCAGAACTTCACGCGGTTGTCTGTGCGCTTGTCCGCTTGTGCCGTATTGCTGGAATTGTTATAGAACAATAAGTAGAGAAAAATCTCATTTAATCGTTTTATCTGATAATTTTTCACAAAATAACTAAAACATCAAATCTTAGTAAGATATTATAAGTGGGAACGTTTAAATGGATGTTTGTTAGGAGGTATCTCCAGAACGGCTGCATGGATATCGTTGAATTTGGCAAAGTTGTAGAACATAGCCTGAAAAAACACATAGGCTACTTATTACGCTGGCAACAGGTAGTATTTGATAATTTAACGAGGTTTTCTTTACTTAATCTAGGCTGTAAGTGAAAACGTAGGATAGTTTTATTGTTTTTAAGGTTCCGTACCTCGAAAGGAAAAAAACGGAACCCTTATAGATTCACATTGTTTGATTTTAAATTTCTTATTCTATGATTCTCACCTCCCAGTTTTTGATTCTTTTATTGTAACCTTCTAGTTTCTTCTGCAGCTGCGCGATACAAAGCGCGCTCTTCTGGTTCTTCTTCTCGAACACCGCCTTGATGCGCTGCAGCTGCTGCTTGTCCGCGTTCGCAGCCAACTTCAGGTATTCATTCACGTTCTCTGGAATAACATCCATATTTTATTTGGATTACTAGTCGCGGAGTTAAAAAACTTTGATAGACTATGGGTTCTTTCTCACTATGTTCTACATCTATACTAAACTTCATCGAGATCCATGCAACTTTTCCGGAGATACCTTCTTAGACACATCCATCCATCCATCCAAACATTCGCATTTATAATATTAGTAAAAAGTAATATAGTATAAAAGTTATGGATAATCAGAATTTAAATACAAAAATGTTGATAGATTTTTATTATTAGGAAATACTAAAACGGCTGCACATAATTCGATGAAATTTAGAACATAGATTAATTTAAATTCTAGAATCGCGTAAAGGCGTATGATTACTTAGTGTTTTAGTTTGTTATTTAGATTCTATCGAATTTAGAAACAAAAGGAGTTTACTACAAAAAAAATCAAGTTCCATCTTTTACCTTTAAATGTAGCAATTAAAGGAATGACTTAAAATAATTAAACAATGACATATATGAATAGAAAGTATTAACTCACCATCTCTGTTTGTCTGTTCCAGTCGTATGAGATCTTTGGTGCGTTCAATCTTACTGTTGAGGTGCGCTATGGCGGCCAGAGCTTTCGCTGACGTTGCATTCCCACTGCTGTCGTAGTCATCTATGAAAATATATAACATTAGTATAATAAGATTATCCATAATGCATAAAAATGTTTAAAAATCATGTGCATTTCTCTTGAGGAATTTATCGGTTGAAATATATATTTTTTTAATATAAAATATTAGCAGATTTTTTTGTAAATTTACTAATATTTCTTTTACCATTCCAGCTAAGCTCTAGGCTTGAGCAAGGATATGGTTTACGAGAATAGTTGAATCGAACCCCCGACCACGTGATCGGAAATCCGTACCCTTAACCATTAGGCTATTGATGCTTATGCTTTATTAAAATTAAATTATTTTTAAAATCGAAGTCTATACAGATTTAGAAACAAAATAAACATTAACTTACCTTGATTAGAATAATCGCTATCTTGGGCTGGAATTATAAAAGAAAACAATTACTAAATCTGTACAGTTAATAAAATCTGAGTGTTATTAGCTTTATTCTAGAGAAAAACCATTTTTTTATTTCTGTCAGTCTGTCCTCAAGCCACATGTATACGTGGTGATCTCCGAAACGGTTCGGTCTATTTTGTCAGGACTTGGAAGGTAAGATAATTCCTTCCTAATTTAGGCTACTTTTTTTTTAATTCCGCGCTAACAAAATCGTTGGCTATTGCTAATTTTACATATTTCTTCATACGTATAAAGAGAAAGCTCTATATAACGAAAAAAAAATATTTCTAAATAAAACTTATGACATGTAATTTCTGTATTAGTATATTTAAGCAATAAATTGAATTGTATTTTTTTTTTCTTCACCTCTATAAGCGGGTGATCCGTACTCATCAGCGGAGGACATAGCGTATGACACGTTGGGGCTGTACACTGGGCAGGTGTAGTCAACCGACGGCAACAGATTGGATACGTTTTTCTTCTGCGGCGAGTCTTCCAAACTGGAAACATTAGAACATATAAAAACGTATCTTTTGCCTAAGACTATGGACTTAAGTCAGACGAAACGCGGAATTGTTTCCAATTGACGCCTGTCTTCTGTATGGTCGGTATTTCAACGAACTATAACATCGAAAATATTGTGGTAATGATACCAATGAGTTTTGACACGATAAACATTTAGTCATCAGTTTCTTTTCTTTAAAAAAAGGGTCTTGAAAGACAGACGAACGGACAACAAAGTGATCCTTTAAGGGTTCCGTATTTTTCCTATGAGGCACTGAACCCTAAAAAGACATTAATTACTATATTTGTTCGTGTTTAGGCATTAAAAATCTAAACATCTTAACAACGATTTAAAATAATAAGGTTCCTTTTACCTCTAATAATTAGGTTAATAGTGCATTTGAAATAACAAACCGAGTGAATTCATTCCCACGGTTGACCTGACCTGTACGGTTAAAGAATTTTCGCATTTATGATTCGATCGATATTTTAGTAATTTTATTCGTAATACAACTAGCAAACACATTGAAACATTAATAATGAAAGAAGCACAGATATACAAGCAAATTGAACACTTTTTAATAGATGTGTCAAACGACTAAACTAAACTTTTCCCTTATTCTGCTATTTAGGTTAAACAGAACGATGAAACTAGACAGGAACGCTAGCAAGTTGTCCCATACATAACGCACTTTCAAATTGCTTCAAACTTTCATATCAACTCTTTGGTGTTTTATGTCGCAAACACGCAAGATCCAATGTGGATACGCGATAGCGACGCGACCGCTGCCCATAGACATCTGCAATTGCAGATGCGTTGCCCAACTTTAACCGACGATGGAGGGGACGTTTAGAAAGAGAATCTTTCCACTTCCTAAAGTTTTCCCTGTAAGAAAAGGGTTGGAAGGGAAAAAAGACTACAATTAGGTTACTAACTCTCTGGAAGTATTAGCTGTGCCGGCGACCTGGCTATTGCCCAGATCTCTGGAGTGCGACTTGACGTGGTGAGCGCCACGCTCGCTGTGACGCGAAGATGAGTTCGATGACGGCTCCTGAAAATAAAAAGAAAAATGTTATTCAAGTAGCCAGTCACTTAAGGACAGGAGTCAATTCTTTTTTCATCTTACTAATATTATAAATGCGTATGTTTGGATGGATGTTTGTTTGAAGGTACATCTAGAACGGCCGAATGTATCTCGATTAAATTAAGCCTACATAACATTGTCTGGAAGAATACATAAACTACTATTTTTTTTCCTTTAATTCTACTAGGGTGGAGTAGCGGGCGACCGCTAGTTAAATAAAAGTGTAATATTTTTTACTCTTATACCCATACCAACTATTTCCTATCATTATATTAACTTACCTTCAAAACTTCAATAAAAAAATCACACTTATATCACAAAAAGCAAATAAATTAAATATTTTCTTTTAAAAATCGACTATACGACAATACATGTTACATTATTGTAAACTACAAGTCTATTACGAGTTTGTCATAAAATTGTACGACTATTATGAGACTTTTAAATGCGGGGTTATCAAGTAACTAATATTAACTACATATTAGTTTTGATAACAATAATTAACCCAAATTAGAATTAAATCAAACTGTTGACAAATTGCTTATTTTCAGTTTGTATAACGTAGATTTGGTGTTATTTAAAAGTTTTTTTCAATACAACTTTTATCATTTAATAGCTGTCACCCGCGACTCCGGTCGCGTGGAAAAAAAGCTAAATATAGCAGTCAATAGGCTATGTGTTCTTCCAGACTATGTTCTACATCTATGCCAAATTTCAGCGAGATCCATGCAGCCGTTCTGGAGAAACCTAACCTAAGTTTAACAGCGGTAGAGCCCGCTTTAACATCTTCGCACGAATCGGCCCGGCTCGTCCGGTGAAATACCACAACCACACAGAAGAAAGGCGTGAAGTGGAAGCGATTCCGCGTTTCGTCTGATGAGTATGCATCCCCGAGGCCTAATTTAGTCCTCTTTCCCTTCCCACCCCTTTTCTCATAAGGAAAGGATGGGAAGTGGAAATGGACTTTCCGGATGAGAGGATGCATGGAAGGGGAAAACATTTTCTTTCTGTGCATCCTCTCCTCCGTCGATTAAATGTCGGCAACGCATATGCAATTGTGTATGTCTATGGGCAACGGCCACTTCGCTATTTCACTGATTTCAGGTGGCCGTTCGCTCGTTTGCCACCTTATGATATAAAAAAACCTTCAAAGAACATCCATCCATCCATATAAACCTTTGCATTTATAATATTAGCAAGATCTTGGAAAGTAATCGTCAACTTATTATTGAATACGATCAATTTATTTAAAATTGGCGTGTGTTAGTGCTTTGTTTTTTTTTTAAGTTGTGAAACTATATCAAGATTAAATTCGAAAAATATTTATCAAACAAGTATTCCCTGAATAACTGAAATACAAAAGTAAATACGTCAACGTAACATACAAAGCCGTGTTTTGATAAAGTATTTCTATAACTCTTCTACTGAATACGGCGCCGGTTCGAGAGACGTCTAGACTTTTAGACATTCTGAATAACGATTAAATTTACAATCCAGCTGCCACATAGTTGCGTATGAAATTTGATGAAATTATTTGATAAACCTCGTAAATCACACTGATTTAAAATCACTATAATAAACAAATTTATTTTGTACTAGCTGTCGCCCGCGATTCCGTCCGCGCGTAATTAAAAAAAATCTAAATTTTCTTCCCTCTTAAACCTTCCCCAGACCTCCACGAACATTTCAAGACCAAGATAAGATAAATCCGTTCAGCCGTTCTCGAGTTTTAGCTAACGTACAGCAATTGATTTTTATTATTTTGTATTAAACGCAATTTTAAAGCAATACTGAACTGTCTACAATTGAATTTAAAAATCGTCTATCAGAAAAAAAACAGTAGGTCAATACAAACAATCATATTAAAGTGACTAATTTTATTTAGGGCTTCCAAGTTTAATACTAAGGCAATGAACTCACAAATATTTTAATCTTATTAAAGGCTATAACAGATAAATATCTAGACTAACTATATTTCATTAATTACACTTAATTGCACATTCTGAGAATAGTTCAAAGTTCAAATCCCTTAGCGTACTTACACTGACAACATGGTGCGCGGTGGAGGGTGACTGAACTCTGGATCTGATGACGTCATCGGTGACGACAGACGGGTCCCTGGCGAGGTCGGCGGTTGACGGCGACTGACTCCTACTCGAGCCCTTACTGTGGTGAACATGGAGCGAATCCATCGCTACTACTACGATCACAATCTCACAAGAAGCACACTCATATCAGATGACTTTACTGTGGTTCTACAATGTCTTTGTGCTACAATCGCATTTAGTAATATTGCTTGATGATTTCCCCATCCCTGGAACGATTCTGAAAAAACAAATAAGCATGTTAATTTGTTGTTCTCAAACAGGCGAACTAGATGGCACTAATGTCAAATTAAAACACACTATTGAAATATCCTATGAATTTCCAGGACCAGTATAGTTTTGCCACTAGTAGCAACTCCATTTGAACCCTTAAAATAATAAGATCGCAATTACCTATGTATTTAATAGAGGTTATATAAAATTAAAATATCTATCAAGATTGAAGGTGAAAGCATTTACCGACAATACTAAGCCTATAATGTAATTTACGATAAGTGGCGCTTACGTTTGTGTATTTAAATTGACGAGACAGAATAAATATTTAAAAATCGAGAATATTAATCGGCGTAGTGTTGCTAGTTCAATTTGTTGGCAGTGAAACGGCACGCGACGTTGAAATTCGCTCGGCGTTGCCAAATTGTCATAAAGCATGGTAATTGATGACCAGTGGAAAATTAGAGTTATTTTAAACTGAGCTTTATTTACATCGACGGTTCTTTATAATAAGAAATAATAAGACAATTGCATTTATAGATTTATTAAAGACAGTCCGAAGATAAAACTAACGAAACACCTATGATTTTTCGTATCAAAATGCTTTAAATTTAGCTTAAGTCTTGTATTCAATTAAGACATGACAGCTTTGTTTGGTCTATTATCTATATTCTGATTACATTCACGTTACTACAATGAGGTGACAATTTTTTTAATCGACGTTCTGCTTCAACTGTGTTATTATGTTGTTACAGTTAATCTATACAGACAACCTAACATTAAAAGCCTGTTTTAACTTCTTTACCTCGTCCATCCTATAAATAATTGCACAACGATTTTTTAGTATCATACGATAAAAAAAAAGAAAAAACCTAATCGGAGCTGGTTTGGTGATTCGTTGAGCTTTATCTCTAATTCTATGAAAACGATGACTTACCTTCACCATCCTTCTTTATTACTAAACATTTGATTTTCACTATACTAAGTATAAGTATAATTCAATCTTTTATATTATACTGTATAACATATATATAACTATATATATGTTATACAGTATAATATAAAAGATAACTTAACTAAGACAAAGCCATTTTTGTTGTGACTAGCCGCTTACAACCATCGGTGGTAAATTCAACATGGAACTGAGGTCATGGGAACGAATTTATCAAAGACAATCTCCGCATTCAGGTGTCATGATGCGTGAAATAATGGAAAAGTGGACAAAGTTTGTGTTTGTTTTGCGCATTGATTTATAAGACGGCTTTATTCAATATCTGATGAAAAGCTTGACATTTACTTATGAGGAAATAAAACGAATAATTCAATGGATAGAAAAGGGAATATCCTTTTTCTATTTGTTCTTTCCTGTCTGTAAACGGTAAAATGTTACCAAATAAATGATGACTATATTATACGTAATTCTCTTATCGTGGGTTTCTGATACCAAGAATTACCGTTTAAAACATATTGATATACTTGTTAAGTCAAAAATAATGGGATAAAGAAATGTTTAATATAGAATTTGGTCTTAGAAATCAACGGTTAGTAGTACATGCATAGTAATTAACACGGTTGTGTGCGTAGATTCATCTTAACTATAATAACGAGAAATATAATGCTGCTAACGATCGTAATAACTCATTTATAGGCTTTAATAAGACAAGTGTTCATTATAACATTGAAGCATGAATTCATACTTTTTTCGCGGGTTTGTAATTAGCTATGTCCGTTACATTCTTGCGATTATACGATTTTTATCTTAAATTACAACAGGGGTACTCTTAGTCGACCTTCTTGGTTAAAATTACTCGTATTTAGTGCAGTTAAACCAATTGTAAAATGTTCAATTCATTGAAGTTGTTTAAGATGCAGATATAGCTATCCCTCTCGCACATCAATTTATAAAAGTCGATTGAAAAATTCCTGTTTTTTGCATTCCCACCTGCCACTTTGTTCGTCGTTTGTTTTTTACGAGATATCGTTTTTGTTCCCTTTTACGGTAGTAATATAGTCTTTAAGTGTTAAATATAAATTGAAACAGTATTTATTTAATAACTAGCTGCCGCCCGCGACTCTGTCCGAGCGGAATTAAAAAAACTTAAATAGTAGTCTATGTGTGTAGTCCAAACTAATTTCTACATCTATGTTAAATTTCAGTTCCATCCATTTTAACATTTGCATTTATAATATTAGTAAGAAGTAAAGACTAAAGTGAAAAATCTTTTCATTATGTAACTATCGATTAAATATTATATAATATATAAACTATATTTAATGATTTTTAAAATTCTCCATTTTGATAAATTAAAGAGAAAGAATAACTTGATATTAATTTAAATCCCTGTTATATTTTTTTAATGTAACGCGACATCTGCTGGCGTTGAATGATACTTTAAATATCTAAATTCCTGATCGTATCATACGTAAGCAGTTGATTATTTTTAGTATAGAAAAATTACTGACGTAAAAACGAACGCATTCAAAACTTTGCCGCAATTGTACAGCAAATAAATGAATAATTTAGAATAATAGCAGAAAAAAAAATATTTTTATTTATTTTTAATTTTTAATAAACTAGCGCTACCATCCTGTCTGATGTTACGTGTTGACGTGGTCGAAAGAACGCGCTAGCTTAGTATATACCTACTCTACTTTTGAAGGCCCCAAGTAATACTTAGGCGCGTCATACATATCTCAATGGAGTTAGGAAGAAAATCCAAAAATGTGACAGTGTATTGACCCAACACTAGCCTTACTGGGGTGTCGGACACTGGATTTTGAAACGAAAGCACGTCATTCGCGCCAAAGGATTCTAATTAATAATGTCTAAAAATAGATAGAACTTAACATCAAACTAAACAAGATTAATTAAACTTTAAAACAATAACAAATGGACCTAAATAGAATATTAACGTGGACTGGTCTACACTTCTGCATTTCATTTCATTGCAGAGTAAAACATTAAAATTAATTTGTTCTGTTCCAGTCCGTCTAAATAGTGTTAAGGAAGGAATTTAATTCAAAACATATGTTACCTTAATTGCGGTTAGGTCACGGAAAATTTTGATCATGTTATTGTTTTCATTAATAAATAACATTCTATTCTAGATATATATACATATTAATAAAATTGGAGTGTCTGTACGTATTATCGGGGAATAAAATTATATTTCGTACAAGCCATATTGCGTTGCTGATAATTTATCCGCAAGGCCGTGTTTGTTCCAGGTAATCTCCGGAACAACTAGATTCATTTTGAAGGGACTTGAAAGGAAAAGTAGCTGATGATCGTGATAGTAATTTAGGCAATTTTTTTAATTCTGCGCTGACAAAGTCGCGGGCGAACGCTATTATAAATATTTGCAAAACACGAAACAAATAACAATAAAATCCATAGGTAAAACATAACCATATTTCAAAATGTTGTGCATGCAATGGAAACCTTTGGTTACATACAAATCGATCTGGTAGAAGGTCAGGCGACACGAGGACGCTGGCACTAAAATAACGCAAACAATTGTGACTTTAGAGCTACTGGAGAATACATTGTTCCGATAAGTTAGTATTACGAAGTTTCATTCAATACTAAGAGTCGAATTCACTCAGAGTATTCCGTCGGAAAAGAGAGTAATTCTGACAAACAAGGTCCCAAATCCTCACGCATTCTTGTAAAACCATTTATGACAATATAAGACAGTAATAAAGAGATTCATAACCAAAAACCTTTGGATAGTAACTTGGAAGTAGAGGTCCAATAATGTCAGCTTATTGTTGATAACGTTCGTTAAAATGATAACAAAGTTCAACGACTATTTAGACTCACTAATTGGTGTAATAGCTAGACACAATTTTAGGTGAAACATGGATAGGTCACGCCCTTTACTGCCACTATAGTCATAACATCAAAGCGACCGCGATATCTACGGATAAACCAATTAGGATACTAACATTAACCTAAAAACATTAATAAAATGTTCCGACTACTAAATCTAAGTTGTTCGGATGCATCAAGATTTTAATTATGAACATTGGAAATCAAATTAATTATATTTATCCTTCTTAAACATAATTAAAAAAATGACAGAAAGAAATTATAAATACACTAGCTGTAGCCCGCGAGACAGTCCTGGCGGAATTAAAAAAAAAGACTTGATTATTAGCCTGTGTTCTCTGCGATTATGTTCTACATCCATGCCAAATTACAGCGAGATCCATGCAGCTGTTCTAGAGATACCTTCAAACAAACATCCATAAATCAATTTGAATATTCGCACTTATTAGTAAGATAGTGGATGATTTAAAACCCTTGTAGTTAAATCATAGCCTAATTAAACATGTCATACTACGCTACGTTTAGTTATTAGGCTATTTTAGCTTTTATCGCTGCAGTATTTCCGAGCTATACAAAGGCATATAATAATATTCCTCTCAAATTGGTGGCCGGGGCAATGTAATCGTTGCCACGCCGTTGCGCGCGAGATATACCGTTATATTGACCTACATCATGGCCACCCTAACGACGAACATAGGGGACGGATTATCATCGTTTTTATAGTAACTTGGACAAAAAGTACATTTTCCTTAGATAAATACTTTAGTGTCGTGTATTACGATGATGCGATGATGATGATCGCGATGTTCTGAAGTATCAGGGACATTGGATACTAGCTTATTCCTTCGTTTTTAAGTCGTTAACTAAGTAAACATTCCCGCTGTTTCCGTGGGTTTCTACTGCTTAAAGCCTGAACAAAAATATCATTTTTGATTTCCCTAGATAATAATTTACAATGTGAATTTTATATCGCATTTTGTATTGAGAACTCGCGATAAGACTCCATAAACTTTGTATTGTCAATAAGGTTAATTTTAAATAACGAATGGACAAATGACTCGATGACTTTTAAAGAATGATATCGTATTATGATTGTGTATTGGATAGTTGATAAGAATAGAGGACATAACGATTAGCGGAACATTAAACTGAATATTGGAATTGATAACAAATTCAGTGTTAAACAATTTAAATTAAACTATGCAATAGATATAGAAAAGATAGATATTTCCTTAAACTTATTATACAAAAAAAAGGGTCTTGACAGACTGACGGACGGGCAACATAGTGATCCTATAAGGGTTCCGTATTTTTCCTATGAGGTACGGAACCCTAAAAACAAAAAATGCGTATAATCTAAATATTATTTAGAGAAAATATTTGATTGTTTGCATTGAATAGGCTACGAAGCTACTGAACCGATTCGAAATTTGAACTGCTGAGAAGCTACACTATCTAATTTATTTTCAATTCCACGCGGATTAAGTCGCGGGCGAGTACTAGTTCGTTTACAAATATCATATTATGACTGGAATTAAATTATCTGTATTACTTCGAAGTACCTTTATTCATATAAAATTAATAACGTAAATAATATACTCTGATCAACATTCCTTTACGCAAGAGGTCGTTCTGATAATCTTTTACCAATTAATCAACTGTGAACTGAGACGTGGGCGTGCATTGACTGTTGACCCGAACACGTATATATATACAAATATACGTAATGTCCGTCTGTGAGACAACGCCCTCGATGTAGTTGAATTCCATTGCATAATATAACTTCAATGTATATAGAACGATTTTACGGATATTTTTAAAGATTTATAATATTACTAACGGTCTCCTGCGACTACGTCCGCGCGGAATTATAAGAAAAACTTAATAAGTAGCCAATATGTTCTTCCAGATTCTTTTTTATATGTATGCCAAATTTCATCGATAACCGTTAAGCCGTTCTGGATATACCTTTTAACAAACATCCATGCATTAATCTAAACATTTGCATTTATAATATTAGTAAGAAGTAAGATTACTAAGATACTCACAAATGTACTTCTACAAAATCGTTAAACATTGTTAAAATTACAAAAGACACGCTGAAAATATTACAAGTTAATAGAACAAGTGCACATGTAACCAATTCTAAAAGAAATGAACATCGGAAACAAAATTGCCCGATTAAAAATAAACTCGTTTTAATGCCAAGACGCGGTGCAAGAGTTTATTCGATGACAATTATTAAAAAATACACAACGTATTCTCAAGACTCGTATCACAAAGATGGAATTTATTCTTACTAATATTGTATGACAGAATAATATAGCCATGTTTTCTTTCCGAAACACTTGAACAAAAATATATTACGTACGTTACGTTACGTTACTTAAGATACGTTTCTATGATCTGTGAAAATGTAAAGGGTGTTTTTAACTATAAAAATTCTAACTGTAATATTGACATAATATATCCGAATATTTTATAAAATACATTTTTGTATACCCTCTTTGTAAAGCTTATCATTCAAATGGTTGGATGCGCAGTAGGAAAGAATGAATAAAGAAATGCACAGCATGTGCTGAACATCTGACGCGATGCAACTTTTTTTGTAGCTAAAACAACGAAAACTATACAGACAGTCAAAATAGTTTAATATAAGTGCCCATTTTGTATGCAGCATGGTAGACGGATTTATCTTAACGCTATATCTATATCATAAAAGAATGCACGAAATAGTGGGAAAGAATCTAAGAAATTTTACTTATTAAAAAACCCGTAAATTTAACCCGTACTACCCTACACAGAGTCGTTAATTAGTCACTATGTAAGACTCTTAGTGTAGATTTCTCATACAAAATGTACATTGAACGGTTCACGACAGTTCGAATTAACACTTTTTATCTCACAATAGGCGGAGCTTAAATTAATGCTTTTTCAAGACATAATTTCGCAAAAACATTTGTATTAAGCGTAGTTATGTATTTATAAAGAATAATAGCATATACGAAGCAGTCAGAGAGAAAGTACGTGCGCTTCACGAATCGCTACATCACGTTTTTTTTATTTCCGGGATGAACGCTAAACAATTGCCTTAAGGTCACGCGACACGAAACAAAAAGGTCAACTGAGCTATCAAACAATAATGATACAAAATAAATAAAACGTTTTTATATTTCATATAATCAATCTACCATGGGTTTCCGAGTTCAAAATTCCGTTAAACACATATTGCTATCTCGTTTTCGTCAAATATGAAAGACTGGGACGACGATATTTTTAAACTGAGATTTTAGAATCAGTAAATAAATTAAAACAAAATAATTAATAACTTCATTAATACAATATAAATTATTTTCTCAATTCTTTCATAAAGAACGAGGTATGTTTTTGAAATAGTGTTCCAAAAAAAGGCACTCTTTACTTAAGAATTTAAAGGTCAAGATTTTTATAATTGAGTTAATCATTATATTAATCAAAAATTACATTGTATTTAACCATATAAATTCTATATACTGGACTGGAGGTCTAGCAACTAAACAATTAACAGTATTATTTTATCGCAAATTACAATTATACTGGTCACTTTCATAACTTGATTATTGTTTATAGGTCGCAGCTGCGCGTCCAGTCATGTTAGAGCCGGAACTCAATAGTTAGGGAGGGAAAAGCAATTACAATTCGATTGCACTTGACGATATAACAGCTGTTGATGTATTACTATGGAACAGATTAAAAAACATATAGTCAACCGTCCCTTATTAAAAACTGCAATTACTATGAATAATATTAATTTTAACAATAATTAATAATTATCTTTCTAATATTATAAATAGGTATGTATGGATTGGATAAATGGATGGATGGATACATGTTTGTTAGAAGTTATCTCCAGAAAGAGAATTTGGCGGAGATGTAGAATAGTCTGAAAGAGCACATAGCCTACTAATTAAGTCATTTTTAATTCTACAAGAATCGAGTTGCTTGTGACTGGTAGTTATAATTTCAACTAGTACACTGAGATGAGTTAATAAGAAATAATTAACAGACAATTATATTTATATTAAGAAACTGTGCTACTGTAAGAAATATACATTTAGCATGGTATGAGCATTTATTAAAGCGAGAATTTAAATTTTGAGTATGAAGGGGTACTCGGCAGAGGCACGCCTAGTAAGTGATGGATAGATCGCTTAAAAGGTGATGACATCAAGAAGGGAGTGATGATGACATAAATAAAGTAGATTAATGTGGAGGACCAAAAGGGAGTGGAACAAGGGCAGGGAGGTGAATTGCACTACAACATACCAATATTTAAATTTAATAATTGCTTTAAACTGTGAATTGGAAATAAGTAAATCATGGTAAATCACAACCTTTATATTACAAATATATAAGTATTAAAATATTTCCATTGCCATCATCACAATTCAGTCTCAATAGATGTCTATTGTAACTACAAATACAAAGCTTTATAAATTACAAAAGGGTCTGTCAACAGCCTCCGTTGATCTGAAGGAGCACTTAGTTTTAAAAGCATTCTGTTTGAATAACAAAAGCTTTCTCATCAATCTTTAATTCGAATCGAGTGCCATTGTTTTGTATTATTGTAAATCCCCATTTCTTTTTAATTTTTGTTATACAAGATCAACAATGAAAATTTACGAAGAATTTATTTAAAAATCAATAAGTCGATCTGACTCTGATCTGGTTGTCTTTGCTTTTTCACACAGAATACCATGTTGTTGCATGATAGTTTTATAATTGTTAACTGAAGGTTAAAATTATAGAAACTAATTACCATAGCTCATGGCAATTTTGTCAATCATTACACTATGTAAAGTTAACCCTGGATAAGCAAGAAACCTCTAAGGCGAGAACCATTGTTGAGTCCGAAGAACAACCATAACCAAGACTCGGGTTTGAAAGGCATCTCTATATGTGCAAAAAATACCAAGGTTCCTTGGACATTGGCTTATCCAGGTGTGGCTGTAGTTACAATGATGGAAAAGACTTAATTTTAGGGAGATTTTTTCCTTCCAATTATTATCTTTCAACATCACAATCTAAGAAACTGGTTACTTCTAATAAATCCTTATACAATGATTGTTTCCATAGAGTGCTTGAGTAAATAAAGGAAAAGAACCATTTGTAAATTAAAAAACATTCAGATAAAAATCTAAACACATAAACATAACTATGATATTGTAATGCTGAGAAAATAATCATTAATGGATACAGGAAATAAAACTGTGAGAAAATTATCATTTTTAATGACCTGTTGGCCTCTGTTAGCTGGGCACTTAAGTGACTCATGTTAATTTTATTTAAGATTACACTCCCTACAAGTATGACTCACACAGAGTTTTATAAACAAAGAAAAAATATTTTGTTATTACTTCTATAACGAATTCAGTAAACGTTTCTGCACTGGCATCGCTCCAAATATGCATTAACGTACTAGAGGAGTCTGCCTATAGTATTTATAAGGAAGTACTAACACCAATAAGTTGCTATACCATATCGGAGCCCTACATTACCTTGAAAGGTCCGCGTACTCATTGTTACATCGTCACTGTTGTAATGGATGCTATCACGTATTCATTTATATACCGCTAAATAGAAACAATGGCATATTCTTCATAACTTATTAGTTGCTATTCAGTCTACGCAAAATAATAATTGATCGCAAATGGTAATAGAATAATTTAACCAATAACAATAAAGTCGTGAAATAAACGTGGGAAATTTATAAAAATAAAAGGCAGTTATAAAATTATATTACAAAAAAGAATCTTTGCAAGCAATTGTCGGCATTGTATAGAATTTACTTACATTCTGCTAACACCAAGATCTTCCGCACTTGTCAACACATTACTATCGTTACTTTATTACACAATAGTCTCTGTACATGTTTTCCACGAAAATAAATATAATTACCACATAGTTACGATTGTATAAAATGACAGAAAACAGCGGACTGAAAAAAGACGTCTGGATTGGATGGATGATGCACTTATTATTTGATAGTGATATTATCCGGTAGATGTCGCTAATAGCGGCGGCGTAGCCAGAGACAATTTTTTTTGTAAGACCTAAAAAGTAACAGTTAAAAAAGCGTATCATTTTATTTTTTATTTAATTTATGAAAGCAATTACAATTATTATTAAAAAGGATCAACTTACAACATTTTGAAAGTTAAATCTCTATTTAAAAAAATTGTATGATTAAAACAGTAAAAGGAAGTGTTAGTTGTTGATTTATACATCGAAACAATGTTTTTATTTCTAGACACAGATACATATAACGTTTTACCGCATATCTTGTCACATAGACCTAATGTAATTTATTTCACATAATTTCGGTATCTTTTCAAGACTGTTTGGTATACATCAGATAAAATTCTAACTAAAACTAATATTTTTATTTTCAGGGATTTATACTTGAGTTTTGGGTCTGAATTCACATTTTTTGGGTCTTTTTTTTAGCGATTTTTAGCTTATAGTTTTTAATTATTATAATATCGAAGGTAACATTAAATATCCATCGTTTTTCAACCAACATCGATGGTTCAAACAAATTTTTAGTAGGCCATATACAATACAGGTACTGTGTCATTCTCTTAGTATATTAGAGAATTCAATTATTTACACAAACTGAATAATTAAATAAAGAACAAAAAATTGCAAAACTTTCATACTTTTATAGATAATAAAATTTAGGTCTCTCATAATACAGCAAAAACTACCAGAAACTAAAATACACAGCGCCACCTACGGACAGCCAGTTATGATAATGTTGCATGTGCCATCTCACTCGCACTCGTGAGCTCCGCGCAGCTCGGCGCGTTCAAATGGTTCAATGACTTTGGCGACCAGTTTCTATTTTCTCTCTGGTTCTGTCGTCGGGTCGGCCCGCTAGGAAGGGGGCCTTTGTTTGCGTTTCACGTTCGCGTCGCACGGTATCATCTGCGTCGGGCGCTCAATCGTGTCGCATCCGAGACGGAATGTGCCAACATAAGTGGAAGCGTGGTTATCGCTCCTCTCGGTCGATGTGAAATGTTGTGTAGTGCCCCAGGGTGGCGCCGTCTAGTGCAAGTGCAGTGAGGTGCAGTGGTGTGTGCGAGCGAGCGTGGGTCGGTGCCACGGCGAGCGAAGTGCGCGGAGGTGGCGGCGGCCGCTCGGCCATGACCGGCGACATGCCTCTAGGGAGCGCGCACGCGTTCGGGCGCGCGCTGCTCCGGGACGGCGCCCTGCCGCCGCTGGAGCCCGGGCCGCCAGCGGCAGCGCCGCCTGCGCCGCACGCCCCGCCGGCCGCCGCCGCCAGCCCAGAGCAGGTCATGAAGCTCTATATGAACAAACTCACACCTTACGAGCATCGCGAGATATTCGATTACCCCCAAGTGTACTTCATAGGCGCGAACGCGAAAAAACGACCCGGCCTCGTCGGCTTCCCGAACAATTGCGAATATGACAACGAGCAGGGTTCATATATCCACATACCGCACGATCACATAGCGTACCGGTACGAAGTGCTCAAAGTTATAGGTAAAGGCAGCTTCGGACAAGTGGTGAAAGCTTACGATCATAAGAAGCGGGAAAACGTCGCACTCAAAATGGTGCGAAACGAAAAGAGGTTCCACAGGCAGGCGCAGGAGGAGATTCGCATCCTGGAGCACCTGCGGGAGCAAGACAAAGACAACACTATGAACGTCATACACATGTTTGACTCGTTTACGTTCAGAAATCACACGTGCATCACTTTCGAATTGCTCTCGATAAATCTTTACGAATTGATAAAGAAAAATAAATTCCAAGGGTTCTCGCTGCAGCTGGTCCGGAAGTTCTCGCACAGTCTGCTGCAGTGTCTGCACGCCCTCAACAAGAACCGCATCATACACTGCGACATGAAGCCGGAGAACGTGCTGCTGAAGCAACAGGGACGCTCCGGAATTAAGGTCAGTAAAACTAACCTCAAGTCAGGAACCTAAACAAGTCGAGTGGCAGTCGAGTAGAACGACACCTTTCTCGTGCCGATCCGGGAAACTAAAATCAATAAGCTTCGTTTGTGTTGTAAATATGTGCAGCATTGTGTATGAGGCGAAGAGAGCGGATCAGCTGGCCACACCCGCGCGCCCTAGCCTATATCAACACTCGTCACTCCCCCGACCGGACAGTCGCGTTCAGTGGCGCACTTTGTAGACGTTTCATTTATCATTAAAATCCTAAGATATGCGCTTGTAGATTTATAAAACGCAATTACGTTGAACGTTATCTGTGAGGTTAGAGTCGCTCGATAGAAGCATACGCACGTAATCTATTTTAAAACTTCCCTATAGATACATCCAGTCTCAACCTTACGTCAATACGCATTTGAGTTTTAAACAAAATTTTAGACGAAATATAAAATGTTAAGATACTATGATATTTAATGGTTTCCTATGTTTATTCTTATACTTTTCAGTCGTAAATTCGGTTGAAATACTGAAATACGAATATAAAACGAGCGTAATATTGTCGAGCTTTAACCTTACGCCTTGGATGGCTATTAGGACAACAACCAGACTAATCTATATTTTTCCTTTGGGAAAGACAAATTAATGAACTGTTGGTTGAATCTTTCAACATTAGTAATCTACAGAAATAGAAACTATTTAAAGTTAATTGCAAACTTTATGGCTTTCTGTTTGAAAATCTAGTTTATGATTGAATTGATCCACTTTAAAAAATTTAATAATATTGGGCAAATGTTTACTATTTCATAGAATTTATATTTGAATTTAACCTAATTTTGAATGTCTAACATGTAAATTTATCCGCAGTAACACGTCGCAAGTTCAAGGTTTTAGTGGTCACAAACAATCTTTTTAAGAAATTGTAGTGTTACTTTCATTAGTTGTCTTTTATGACTAGATAGACCGATGCTACAGATAATTTAGTTCGTTGTTTTGTACTTCGTGATTAGTTATCATAGAGAGCTTTGTTTACAGACTTAATTATAAGTTAATCAAAGTTATGTGTTTATAATCTTTTTAATTTAGGAATGTATGCTCCTGGTTTTTTTCTTTTTAATTGAATTTTCATAGTGAATTTGTTACGTGGGCGGGTATGTTTAGTGAGTGGGAACAACTGTTTACACGATATTTGGTGGTGTTGTTATAAATATCGTTTATTTACACGGAAACGGGACAGTTATGTGTACAGGTGTTTTGTAATCTGTTTTGACCTTTACTGAATTTATTATATTATATTACTTCGAGCTGTTTATTCTTGACACACCACACAATATGTTCTTCCATACATGTCTAGGCTTTCATACCTGAATACATTTTTTTCTTACGCATATCCTCTAATCTACAATCCATTACTTTCTCGGTTTTTAATCACGTAACTTTTTTTGTGTTAGTTTATTAGTTGCAAATACATCATCATATTGTATTCGTCTAAAGTTTTCTATGTTACAAAGCGTTTCAATAAAAACTATTTCGAGTTGCAATAGTGTTCGTCGACTTCAATAGGGTCATTGACTCTGATTCAATTCGAGAACTTTTCTATGCAAATGTGTTTGTAAAATAAAAAGTTTATTTTAATTATTACAGTTGATACGAACTTCACTATGGGTCACGAAGGCGTTGATTCAATGAATTTGCAGTTGCTTTTTTATATAAATAAGTATGTTTCAAGTGTGTATGTAATAAAAATGACAGTTTAATTTTGAAAAACAAAAAGCTGTATTCAAATATTACAGATTTATACAATTTGTAAGATGAAACGCGTATATTTATTATGCATTTAAGATCATTAATAAAGCATAGGTTATCCTATGACGTATTTACTCGTATGATAAAAGATTGACCTCCGATATTGCATTTACATAATGGAATATTTTTAATTGTTTTTTTATTTCTGTACAGATAAGAAAGTATATTTCATAACACATAATATAAATATAAGGAAAAAATTACAATATTGTTATTATTACTTAGTTTCCTTGCATAACATGTCTATCTGTTGCATTGTTAGCCTTTTTATGCTTCTACCAGTTTGCCACCTGTGACGCGACGCACCTGGCATTGTGTGGTTTGGCTACCTTATTCAATTCCTTCCCTTTTAAAGTTGGTATTGTTACCATCAGATTGTGAATGTTGGATTTGTTAGCTTATTATTTCGCTAACCATAGTGTAGGAAATCAAATTGTAAACTTACAATTTGACTTATCGTGTTAAATGCAACTATTGTTAGTGACGATTTTTATAATTGAAGAACATTTTTGGCATATTTTCGTCTGGAAATTTACAAAGGAAACAAGGGTCATAAACATACGTTATTTTACCCGGAGATATTGTAGCGTTCCAGTAATTTTTCAAGTTCATGATCACCATCAGAATGTTTGGACCCATTCAATACAAACAAGCAAAAATCTCTTAAATTGTTAGTATAGACGAAGTTCGTGGCACTGAACGTGTTGAAATTTCGAAAGATCTTACATTTCTTCTGCTGCTATGTAAGGTAATAAGCCATTTAAGATTATAACAACAGATAACACGATAATAAAAAGAGCACGCTCTGACATACGCCGACTGGAGAGCTTTTTCTTCGTATTTGTAGCGGTAACTCTCCCCAACCGGTTCGTCTTTTAGGGAACGTTACTGTGACATTCCATTGCTGTAATACATGTATTGAAACATATTGTTGTCACTGTTCTTTCAAAGAGTATGAAAGAGATGACATTATGTTTTCATACTAGTATTTTTATGGAGGAAACTTTTTAAGTTTTCGACTTGTATTCATATCAGGTGCACGTTTGAGTTTCATGTTAAGTGAGATACATCGTTTCGTTCCTTGTTTACTTTAAAATATTTAGTACGTCGGATGTATTTTTCTTATATGGATGACTGAATTGATAATTTCTCAACGGTAACTTTTACGGTTATTCGTTTATTTCTACGAACTGTTTATATGTCGTTTAAAATATCTTAAACTTCTCGATATTATTTTTATCTATGCTAATATTATAGAGTAGTTAATAAA